GACTGGTGGGACCCACACGCTGGGACACAGTGGACGCCAACAGCGATGACGTGCGCATACCGAGCCGTATCCTCGAGCAACTCATTCAGGCTCAGGACAAGAGCGCCAAGGAGAACGCGCGGTTGGAGGCGCTGTTCTTGAATGCGATGTCTCGGCCGTCCAGTGGCTCTCATAAGCGTAAGGCGACCAGGCAGAGAGACCCGGGGCAGGGTTGTATGAACCCGAAGCGTAAGCGTGGCGAGACGTGGAGTGGCGGGTCAGACGATGACGGCGAGGACGACGATGACGACACACATGGATCTGGTGGCCGTCATATGCGCACGGCCAAGTCTCCTATTCTGCAGCGCGCCTTGGAGCATTTGCCTGCGGACAAGGCGTGGAAGGTGAGCGGGCCCGTTCCCGTCCGGTTCCATTATTCAACCGTCATGCATACCGGTGTGCGCCACTCATGTTGTTGTGTATACCTTATGTGCGCAGCGGGTGTGCGAGCTGGCCAGGGTGCACATGTTTCTCAACAGGCCGACGTCGATGATGACCTTCTACCCGAGCAGCGACGACAAGACACACGGGGTGTGTGCGGTGCTGGACCGCCTGCCGCATAGCTTCGCCTGTTTGGCGTTGGCGGCTGACAAGTCGCGTCGCGCTGATCTCAACAAGACACTCTCTGAGTGGAAGACGCGGGCTGCCGCCCGCGTGCGCGACATTGCACTTCCCAAGCTCGGCTTGTTCCGCGACGATCGGGACGCATCCAGCCCATGGGCACCGGAGAAGGAACGCAGTATTGAGAAGATCCGGGAGCGCATTGGGTTCGGCGCTGACCCCCCTGGTGAGTGCGGTCTACCCCAGCAACCAGGCTTGCCACCGCATCGTTATGCTGTCACCCTCGTGCGTGACGGCCGTTGACACTGACCTGCATGCACGTGGGAATGCAGAAACACTGGTGCTCATGACATGGGCGACAGACCGGGATGGCATGCCGTTCGCCTCTCGGGCGTTCGCGACATGTGCGAAGGCTGCATTCAGGCCCAAGAAGGCCGGCCTGGTGATGACGCTGAAGGTGTACCACCTGGCCTGGTTGGAGCATGTGGTGAGTCTGTGCGCTCTATGTGTGCCATGCATCTGTGTTGTTTACGTCGGACCATTTGAGTGACACGATGCGTGATGGCGCAGGTCTCCGACTGCGTCCTCTACTGGGAGCAGAGGAAAGGCCGGCTTTCCAACTCGGCCGGCAGAAACGCCCACGTTGTGGACGGCCTCAAGGTCCTGGTTAAGGAGGCCGTGGAGAGGGCGATCAGGATCCGCAACCCGGAGTATGACGCGGAGCGGGAGGCGTGGATCTGGGGGCGCCATGGTCTGCGCATCTCTGCGTGCGGCCTGGAGCACATGAGGCCCGCCGGCGCAGCCCAGCCGGAGGAGCCAGTGGGGGACGACGACCTTTCGGCATCCGTGGGGGATGAGTAGGACGGCTGGCGTGGAGGGGATGGGGGAAGCGTGGGTTTTACCGTTGCGGGGACAGTAGATTGGCTGCGTGTGTACGATGATTTGCGGCTGTGTGACAGGGTTATGTGTAGCTGTGGAACGCGCACCTGGGTTAAGCATGTGTCAGTGTTGAAGATGTGGGGGGGTTAGACATAGGCGTGGAGGCGTTGTATGTTTGTGTGTGCGTTTGTTGTTAATGGGAAAAGCTTCAATTGGGGTATTGCTCGCATATGACAGCACATAACAGAAACTATATGGTGCATGCCACAGCGAACCCGCCGTCGCCCAGATGTGCGGGACGGAGAGGGATGCGCCGCATTCTGCGGCGAATTTTACGGTGTGTGCCATGTGTCACCTGTACGTTGGACGTAAAGGACGCAGCGGTGCGCGTAAGTGGACATGTGGTTGGACCGCAACAAGGCTAAGGGATGACGTGGAGCCAATGGTATGGGAGGGTGGCACGCGCTTGTACACCCGTGTCACAATCGTGGACGAGCGTGAAGATGAGGCCGACGGTGGGATGTGCGCTGTGATATGCTATACGGGTGCGACAAATGCACGGTTGTGAGTGGTTCGCGCATACGTCGCAAACGTGAGCCACGATGGGTAGGGCAACCGGTTACCGTTTGTGCGATTGCATGATCGGGTTGCAAGTGTACGGGTAAGATGGATTAATTGTGCGTGACGTGGAAGGTCGGTGGTGTTTACGATGTATACAGATGGACGACGCAGGTGTCGTCGTCATCTAGTTGCGAGCGCAACCCTAATGGTAGGCGAGACTTTTCGCGAAGTGCACGAAACGGTGGCATTGGTTCAGGTGTACGGTGTTTATGCATTGGCGCGTCTGGTGCGGACGCACGATGCGCAAGTGGAGTGAGGCCGCGTGGATGAGGGGTAGTGGCTACCGTTGGCGTGATATGCGGTTTGCTGCCCTATGGGATGCATCCAAATGTACGGTGTGGGAAGGATGCTTGACCACCAGATGTACGGTGCAGATCGGAGCGCGGTGAGCTTGCAAGGATGTGCGAGTTTGTGTGCGCGAATGCGTAACGTGCTATGCGAGTTTATGTACAGGCGACACGTGTACCGTAGTGATTGCGTGACCAGGGTGTCCATCCAACGGTTGTGGTTGCTGTACGTTTTGCTGCATGTACGCTTACGTGGACGTGGGAGTTGAAACAGTATGCCACGTGGGGAAGCCCGTACGGATTGGCAGTTGGGGTTACGTGCTCGTCGCTTTCGAGTTGGTTGACACGGTATGGCCAGGTGAACATTTGGGTGGAGCAGCCCGTGACTGTTTAGCATGTGCGCAGATGCGGGTGGCGTTGCTAAACGGTTGACTGAGTTTGTGCAGAAAGGCGCGGGAAAGTGACTCGGAAGTTACTACGCCAGTGACTGTCGCCACGCAGTTCTAAAACCTTGACTCAAAAGTGCCGGGGGTGTACTATCGGGTAAGTTGTGCAAGAGTGTATTCAGGGTTACTTTCCGCACTTCCCAATTTCGCGATGGAGCCGACCACCGTTGTGCTTGGCGAAGAACCTTGTCGATAGTTGACCTATCGGGGCATATTCCAAAATGTGTGAAGCACCAGCGAGCGATGTCTTCATGTGAGAGATCCTGGTGGCTGGCCTTGTAACTACATATAAGCCTCTTTGTCTCTATAGTAAGCTGAGCGCGCCTCATTAGGCGCGGCATGGTTGGCATGATGCAGGTGGTAGAAACTAGTCGTGGGAGGTACTACTACTCTCTAGATGATTGTGCAAGTTCCTGACCTGCTTTTGAACTCAATGTCGAGAGGATTTGGTCGAAGCGCATTGTGATTAGAACATTGAATGGAATTTGGGATGTGTTCAGCAGTGACGAACGTGTCGTATACAGATGAGGTACATGAATTCCCAGTACTGGTTTCGCCTAAGCATCAGGTTTTAGACGCATCCCTTCGCGTAACGTGTGGTCTGAGCCACGAAAAGAACAGGTCGTGAGATTAGACATTGAGTCTCATGTCGAGATGGATGTGACACGTCATTACGTGGCACATTCGGCCGCCGAATGTTAACACCGAGGAAACGCTGAAGTGACGGGGCGTACGCCCACCCTATAGGCTCGCGAGGGCATCAACATTGTTCGCGGTGGGGCTGGGTCGCGAGAGAAAGCAGACTGTTGGCAGGCACAATTTGAGCCGCGCTGCAATTGTCTAGTGTGCATGTTGATAACATGGCAGATTTACAGGCTCTGTAGGTTTTTGTCGTGGGCTTGTACATGACGGGCCATTGGCTGTGAATGTCGACCACTGGGCGTATGGAGTGGCAGTGGGCGTGTTCAAAGTGGGCGGTTGAGTGGCATTAGGGTGTAGCAACTGTGGCGCACGCGTCAGGTCCGTGAAGGAGGAGGAGCAATGAAAACCTTCTCGCACGCCTGTCAGAAGTTGTACAAACCAGGTGGGCGGAGGATGCAGTGCAGCAGATGCAATTGAACGTCAACTTCAAGGCCTCATCCACCCGCCACGCTTTTTCGATACAATTGATGCCTGTTTGAGCCCCTCCCGGTCGCCTTGTGAAGGGGGTGTATAAGCTGTAACAAACATTTCGCATAAGTTTCGTCAATTCGCAGCTAGCTAAAAAGGACTCGCAGGTGCTTATAAACAAGATCTGTTACCTTATTTGACTTCAGTCTCTTCTGCTTGACCTCGGTCTGTTCGTTACTATTGGTTGATAACCACGCGACGCGCTTATAACGTGGGAGCAACAGGCTGGGGAAACAACCTCGGGTGCAGCGTTTCCATCCGGCGCAGGGCAAATCCGCGTGCACTGGTTGGGCATCAATTGTAGTTCGTGTTTGGCAGTCCACTGCACGCCGAGTAACAAGCAAAATGGAGAGCGTCATTCATGGCAGTCCGTCAACTTCAGTCACATTGCCTGCAGATTAAGGAACACCCTCTCCCTACTATTACAGTAGAATTACTTCCCTAGTTTTCTAAACTTAGTCGCGCTGTTAGGTTCCGACGGCAACGCGAAGCTGACTACAGAAAGCGAGGCGAGATGGACGACAGAGATCTAGTAGAGGATCTCGTAGGGGAGGCGGAGGGATACCCGAGCGCTCAGGTCGAAGCCTCCATTTTCGGATCCGAGCCGGAACCAGAATACTGCAAGTATAGCACAGGCCACATACGAGAGGAAATAGGGTTTGATGGTAGATACCTCAACTTTCGGCCAGATAGCGCCAAAATTGGTCAAATTCAGTCCTTCGGGTGTTTGTTACTCGTCGAAGAGAGCTCGTTTCGCATCCTCGCACTTAGTCGGAACGCGGTTGAGATGCTGGAGATCGACGCGCTTCCGGGAAACCCGGACTGGAAAGGCGCGATAGGCCTCGATGCGCGGAGTTTGTTTAAACTAACGAGCGTGGCGACGATTGAGAGAGCTTGCAGCGCGACGGATCTGAACATCGTGTGCCCTATCCTTGTTAGCTCGCACCGATCCGCTAACCCGTTTTACGCTATAATGAGACGATGCGAGGAAGGCTTAATGATCGATTTCGAGCCGTTGAAATTCGACCCGCCGTCAGGCCCCGTCACAGGAGCGCTCGCGTCTCACAAGCTTGCTGCGCGAGCCGTGGCGAGATTGAAATCTCTCCCCGTCGGCGACGTGCGGTTGCTGTGTAACACCGTCGTGGAGGAGATTGGCGAAATGACTGGTTACGACCGCATCATGGTGTACAAGTTTCACGAAGACGAGCACGGCGAAGTGCTGGCGGAGTTTCTCAACAACCAGAAGATCGAATCGTATCTGGGATTGCATTATCCCGCGACAGACATTCCCATGGTGGGTCCTCCTGAGTCCTGACGTTGCCGCGCTACTCGGGGGTAAAATGCTCTTTGCCCTAATCTTGACGAGGTATATTGCTCTTTGCCCTATACGCTGCACGAGGAGCCGGCCCTTACAAAGTTGAGGAGAGAGGAGACCAGAACAGATTCCAGAACCAAATCATTCTGTGCGAATTTTACGTGGATAGCTCCACGTGGCATTGCAACAAGGTTGGCAGAGTAGGTGTGCATGCGTGACGTGGAGGCCGTCACTGGTTGCACGTGCTCGGCACGCGACGAGGAAAGGGGGTTTGTTCCAAGTATAAACTACATGTACTGTTTGAATTTGAATTGAATGTGGACGCAACAGGCTAACAGGCTTGCAGGAGGGAAAGAACCTGCCTTTTCCCGTCCGTGATGGAAGAGACAGGGCACTGCAGGGAAGGGAACTCCCTGACCGGTTCCGCTCCTGGGTCGGCCTAGACTGAGACTGACTGACTTTGGCCGAGTGACTGAGACTGTCACTGACTGGTTGAGTAAGCGAGACTGTCCGAACGACTGACACTGACTAAGGCTGACCGAGCGACTGATGCTGGACTGACTGAGACTGACCGAGTGATTGAGACAGACTGCTACGGACTGAGAGTGACTAAAATTGACAAAGTGACTGAAAATGACTGCTACCGTCTAAGAGTGGCTGAGGCTAACAGAGTGACTGAGATTGACTGACTGAAATTGACCGACAGAGTGACTGAGATGGACCGTCAGAGTGACTGAGATTGACCGACAGAGTGACTGAGATTGACTGAGATTGACTGACAGAGTGACTGAGATTGACTGAAATTGACCATGACTGACAGAGTGATTGAGTTGGGCTGGTAGAGCGCGGAGCCGTCCATGGGATGAGACCCCGGAATTGGGAGAGTATGAGCTTGTTCTGTGGTGGATTCATGAGCTTATTTTAGACGCTGTGGTGGCATGGCGTGACTGTATGGGATTATGACTGCATGGAGACATGAGTGTATGGAGTCATGACTTTTTTGTTTCACTAATGGGACCGTCTGAGTGACTGAGATTGATCAAGCCAGTGAGAATGAGATTGGTGGAGCGTATGAATAAATGAGACTAACGGAGACTGACCGAGACTGACCGAGAATAACGGAGACTGACCGAGACTGACTGAGACTGACAGAGACTGACTGAGACACGTCCGGAAGTACGCCCACCAGCATGTATCTGTCTCAAAGGGTCTTTGTATTCATGTTCTCCCTCGCTCTCTCCATCCCATGCTGTGGCCATGACCATGGACAGCTAGGAGTTAATTCCAAGGCGAATTTTTGTCGCCCCTTTCCTTGGTTTCCCATTCCCGCTTCTACCTCTTCCCCTCCTTCCAGATGGCGCAGTGCACGTTCATAGAGAACCGGGTGCGTATGATCGCGGACAGCAAGGCGTCAGTTGTGGACGTGCAGTGCTGCAGGGCCTTCCCCTCCCCCCTCCGCCCTCCCCCCTCGTCTCCCCCTCCCGTGGTTGAATGAACCTGCGTCCTCTCCCCCTTTTTTCTCCCAGATGGCGCGCCGCACGTTCATGGAGAACAGGGTGCGCATGATAGTGGACAGCAAGGCGGCAGGGGTGGACGTGTTGCACCAGGGCGCGCTGCCGGGGGGGCTGTCTCTGGCGCACAGCACGGTGCGCATGGTGCGGTCGTGCCACCGCGAGTACATGGCCAACATGGGCACCCTCGCGTCTCTCGTGCTAGCCATCACCGTCAGCACCGGGTGAGTGAATGGGTGGGTGAGTGGGTGGGTGAGTGGGCGAGTCGTGTGTGGAATAAGGGAGAAAGTCTGGCTAGAAATGGGGGTGTTGTGGGGGTGTGAAGACAGTTGGAGTGTTGGGGGCCTGTCTGGCGCACAGCACGGTGCGCATGGTGCAATCATCGTGCCACCGCGGGTACATGGCCAACATGGGCACGCTCGCGTCTCTCGTGCTAGCCATCACCGTCAGCACGGGGTGAGCGAGTGGGTGGTTGAGTGGGTTGATGACTGACTTAGTGAGTGAGTGAGTGGGGAAGTGAGTGAGTGAGTGGGGAAGTGAGTGAGTGAGTGACTGAGTGACATGGAAGGAGGTGGGCTAACATGGGCACAGTCGACTCGTTTGTCCTCGCCATCACAATCAGCACCAGGGAGTGAGTGTGTGAGTGCGTGTGTGAGCGAGCGAGCAAGTCAGTGAATGATTGATTGATTGAGTGAGTGATTGAGTGAGGGAGGGAGTGAGGGAATGAGTGAGGGCATGGATAATCATGTTTGTTTGTTTGAAAGTCTACTGGAAATGAGGCCGTTTTTGTCTCTCCCATCCCCTTCCCCTCAGAAGTTTGCACTGCCTCTCTGCTTTTATTGTACCTTCCTTCCCTCCCTCCCTCCCTCCCTCCCTCCCTCCCTCCCTCACTCCCTCCCTCCCTCCCTCCCTCCCTCCCTCCCTCCCTCCCTCCCTCCCTCCCCCCCCTCCCCCCCTCCCTCCTCTCTGCCCCTTTCTTTCCTCCCTTGCGCCTGCTGCATGCACAGCACACTGTTGCTCCGCATGCCTCCGCCTCCCTCTCATGTCTCATCCATGTGTCCACGTTCTGAGTCGACTCAAGAAGTCGTACGCCTCCCTCCTTTCATCATCTGCTCCTCCTTTCTCTTTCCAACATCCCACACCACAGGGAAGCAGGGGCGGCAGCAGCTGCAGCAGCGGCGCCACCCAATGACGTCGCTGGGGCTGGGAAGGCGGTTCGGGCCGAGCCTGGGCGGCGGCTATGGGGGCTGGTGGTGTGCCATCACTGCTCGCCGTGCATGGTGCCCTACCCCACTCGCTCCGCCTGCGAGTTTCTTGTGCAGGTGACCCCCTGGTCTTCACCTTGGCTATCATTAGATTCCTTAGCTACTGCCTTCCCCCGCTTGCTTGTCTCCTCTACGGTCCCCTCCCAGCCCTTCCACCCCAACCCTTCCACGCCCAACCTTGGCTGGTGGTGTGTCACCACTGCTCGCCCTGCATGGTGCCCTACCCCACCCGCTCCGCCTGCGAATTCGTCGTCCAGGTTCGCCCCTTCCATCCTGCTTGTCTCCTCCTTTTCCACCTTCCACCCCCAACCCGTCCACTCCCACCCCTTCTATCCCCAACGCTGGTGTCACCACTGCTCGCCCTGCATGGTGCCCTACCCCGTCCTCTCTGCCTGCAAGTTCCTCGTCCAGGTGATGACACCCTTTTTGTCCTGCTTGGCCCCCTCCTTTCCCCTCCCTTCTCTCTCTCCCCTCCTCTCTTTCTGCCGTGTACCTCGCTTACTCTCGTCTTCCCTCCTCATTCTCTCCATCCTTTCTCCACCTTTCTCTCCCCACCCCGTCCCTTCCCACCCCGTCCCTTCCCACCCCGTCCCTTCCCACCCCGTCCCTTCCCACCCCGTCACTCCCAACCCCTTCCCTTCTCACGCCGTCACTTCCAACCCCTTCCCTTCCCACCTCGTCCGCTCCCAGCTTACCAACGAAATGGGCTTAGCATACGCCCAATGGTCCCTCCCGCCCAGGGCTAATTTTTGGTTTCCAGCAACCCTTGTGATCAGTGTTGCACAAGTCCAAAAACCTGATTATCAGTGTGACACCTTGTTCAAACCCTGATCCACCAGGGTTTTCCTAGTTTTTGAAAATTATACCCTGTAGGATCAGTGTACCAGTTTTGCAAACCCTGGTGTATTGATATTATCGTTGGCAGGCAATAACGAAAATGTATTTCTGGCCAATGGAGGCCCCCCTCGTGCCAGCTCAGAGATGTTGCCTTTGCCAAATTTCAGTTTCGACAGTTGGCATGCGAGAACCTCGATACGGGAAAGGGGGGGTGGGTAGAGAGGGGGCTGGGGGTGGGGCGGCTCGGGGAGGGTATGTACTCGATTGAGGGTAAAACTCGTTACGAAGATCGGTAACCCTGGGCCGTCAGCGTACCTCAAACGTAAACCCTGGCCTATCAGGAAAATACAAGCTCCCGAAAAAATTACCCTAAGGCATCAGTGTGACAGCCAAAAACCACCCTGATTATCAGGGTATCAGGGTGATTTACCCTGATAAAATTAGCCCTGCTCCCGCCCTTTCATTGACCGCCCGCATCCTCTGCTTCAACTGCTGACTGCTGGGCGAAGGTGCTGGGGAATCAGCTGAAGGCGAAGTGGCTATTGAGTCGACTCAAAAGTCAAGTCACCTCGTTACAATGGCACACGGCGCATCCTCAGCTTCGACTGCTGACCGCTGGACGAAGATGCTGGCAAACCATATGTTTCCCTTCCCCGGCCCTCCTTCCTTATTGTGCCATTGTAACGAGGTGACTTTTGAGTCGACTAAAAAGTCACCTTGACTGCTGGACGAAGATGCTGGCAAACCATATGTTTCCCTTCCCCGGCCCTCCTTCCTTATTGACTCGCTCTGCTGTCCTCCCGTCTTTTTCCATTCTGTCCCACACGACACCCGCCCCTCTCTCCCCTGGCCACTCCACAGGTGTTTGCGGTGCAGCTGAGCAAGGAGATGGGCCTGGCGAATCAGCTCAAGGCGAAGCACAGAGCAGATTCCCTGGGGCCCGCCTCATGAACACCCCTCCTCCATCCCTCTCCTTCCCCGTACTACTTCACCCCTCCTCTACCCCCTCCTGCCTCCTCTCGCTTCACAGGTGTTTGCGGTACAGCTGAGCAAGGAAATGGACCTGGCGAATCAGCTCAAAGCAAAGCACGCGCTGAAGATGCAGACGCTGCTGTGCGACATGCTCATGCGCGAGCCGCCCGTTGCCCTCGTCACCAAGACACCCAACATCAGCGACCTTGTTCACTGTGATGGGGCAGCTTTATTGTACAACGGGCGGTGCTGGCGACTAGGGTCCACACCGTCTGAGCCTCAGGTGGGTGTGATGGCTGTGCGATAGAGAGTGTGGTTGTGTGGCCTGTAGGGGGAGTCAGAGAGGCCCCCGGGTCACCAAGACACCCAACATCAACGACCTCGTGCACTGCGACGGTGCTGCTCTGCTGTACAATGGGCGTTGTTGCAGACTGGGGTCCACTCCCTCTGAGCCCCAGGTGGGTGTAGTGGCTGTGCTATAAGATGTGTGCTCTGGGGTGCCTGTTGTACCCTATAGGGGGAGGGGACTCACACACGTCCACTCGTCACCAAGACGACCAGCATCAGCGACCTTGTGCACTGTGAGGGGGCTGCTCTGCTCTACAATGGCCGCTGCTGGCGATTAGGATCCACACCCTCTGAACCCCAGGTGAGTGTAGTGTGTGTCCTTTGGTGCCTCATGTGAGCTCAGAGCCCCCTGGCACCCTCGTCACCAAGAACGCCCAACTTCGGCGAGCGCTGTTGGTGCCCTGTGGGGACTCAGACGTCCCTGCCACCGGCGCCAGGTGCTGGACACTGCCGAGTGGCTGCCCTGCTGCTGACCTTTGAGTCGGCCCAGAGGTCACGGCGTGTCTCCACCACCCACTCGCGCTCTCCCACTCCATGCCTCCGTTTCTCCCCACTCACTCACTGCCAATCGTCGCCAGGTGCTGAGCATGGGGGAGTGGCTGCTGCTGGCGCACCCCAGCCACTCACCACCCATGTGTTGAGAGCTTCCTATTTTCCTTGTGTCCCGATCTCACGTGCACTCATTGCACTGCAATGCCATGCCGCCACCACGTGCTCAGCATCACAGAGGAGTGGCTGCTGGCGCACCACAGCCACCCACCTGACATGTTGAAATCACTTTGGAGTATTCTCAGAAGTGTTCTTCCTTGTGTCCCGCTCCTCAAGTGCGCTCACTGCAATGCCATGCCACCACCACGTGCTCAGCATCACAGAGGAGTGGCTGCTGGCGCACCACAGCCACTCACCACCCATGTGCTAAGGCGTCCATGGCACACGCACGCTATCCCATTATTGTTTCCATGCCTTCCCCGCCCACTCACATGCCATGCCACAACCAGGTGTTGAACATAGCGGAGTGGCTGCTGACTGACACACACGCCACAGCGACTCCACAGGGTTCAGCACCGACTCGCTGCTCAACGCCGGCTACCCCCACCCACATGCATTCACCTCCCTCCCTTTCCTGCCTTCCCCACTCATGCACACTGCATTGCCACCACCAGGTGCTAAACACAGCAGAGCAGTGGCTGCTGCGGACGCATCACACATGTGTTTGAGGCGCCTCAAAGCACCAGATCTTCCTTCCCCACCCACCCACCTGCAACCACCAGGTGCTGAACATAGCAGAGTGGCTGCTGACCCACCACAGCGACTCCACAGGGTTCAGCACCGACTCGCTGCTCAACGCCGGCTACCCCCACGCGTCTGACTTGGGCGAGGAGGTGTGCGGGCTCATAGCCGTCAAGTTCAGCGATAAAGACTTCCTCATGTGGTGCGTTCCGCAATACGTTGCTCATGTGGTGTGTTTATGGTTTTGTTGCTCATACGACCCGTTGCACGTGGGCGGCCCAACGCGCTACACGCACGCACCTCCGTCAAGGCCTTCCTCCTTGCCCACACGCATGCCGTCTCTCTCTCAACTTCCCCCCACCCCCCCCTCCCCACATGCCTCCATCCATCAACCCCCAGGTTCTTCTGAGCGCATCCAGCCAGGAACTCTTTCCCCTGCCCAACCTTCCCTCCTTCTCCCCCCCCCGTCCTCTTCTGTAGGTTCCGGGCGCATGCAGCGAAGGAGGTGAAGTGGGGAGGGGAGAAGCACGATCCGCTAGACGTGGACGACCCCACACGCATGCACCCTCGCACCTCCTTCAAGGCCTTCCTCGAGACGGTGCACATGCGCTCTCAGCCCTGGGAGGATGTTGAAATGGACGCCGTTCACAGCCTGCAGTTGATCCTTCGGTCCGCGCTGCAGGTGAGCTAACTAGAGCTACATACGGAAGTGAAAGGAGTCCTTCAAGGCCTTCCTCGAGCCGAGGTGGTTCACATGCGCTCGCAGCCCCGGGAGGACGTTGAGATGTACGCCGTTCACAGCCTGCAGTTGATCCTGCGCTCTGCTCTCCAGGTGATCTGTGTTGCTGTGCTTCTAGCCTGTGGATTGGGGCAACTGGTAACCACATGGAGGGCGTTGAAGGGGGTCCTTCAAGGCCTTCCTCGAGTCGAGATGGTGCACATGCGCTCGCAGCCCTGGTAGGATGTCGAAATAGACGCCGTACGCAGCCTGCAGTTGATCCTGCGATCTGCTCTACAGGTGAGCTCTGGGCCGCTATGCTCCTTGCTTGGCTGTGGATTGGGGTAACTGGTAACCACATGTAGGGAACAAAGGAGTCCTTCAAGGCGGGCCTTCCTTGACATGGTGCACATGCTCTCACAGATAGCCCTGGGAGGATGTCGAGATGGACGCTGTTCACAGCCTGCTGCAGCTCATCCTTCGGTCCGCGCTGCACGTGGGTGGGCTGTGCTGCCGTGCTAACTGGTAACCACATGCGGGTCACTTTTGAGAATTCTCAAAAGTGATTTCCACGTGGGTGGGCTGTGGTGCCGTGCTAACTGGTAGCCACATGCGGGTCGGGTGCTGCTTTGAGAGACCGAGGGACATCCATACCTCTTGTGCCTGTCCTCTTTCCCTGGCTGATCTCTCTCGTCACTTTTTGCCACCTCCATCCCCCTCTCCTCTCAGGAGCATGACGAGGTGAAGCGGCGGCAGCTGATGCTAGCACAGGTGGCGGAGCTGCAGCTGCAGAGCATGGGGGAGATCAACCAGACGGTGACCCATGCTTGGTGCCTTGTGTGTGCCTCTACCCCTGACTGCCTCCCTCCTCCATCCCGTCTCTGCCTCCCCTCTCCCCAGGAGCATGACGAGGTGAAGCGGAGGCAGCTGATGCTAGCACAGGTGGCGGAGCTGCGGCTGCAGAGCATGGGAGAGACGAGATCAACCAGGTGGCCAATGAGACCGTGCCCCGTGCTTATTACTGTGAGCCGTATACCTGGCTGGTTCCCTCCCCCGTCCCTTCCCTGCCACCCCTGTCTCCTCTCAGGAGCATGACGAGGTGAAGAGGAGGCAGTTGATGCTGGCGAGAGTGGCAGAGCTGAGGCTGCAGAGCATGGACGAGATGAACCAGGTGGCCAACGAGACTGCGCCCCATGCTTGTTGCACTGTTCATTGTGCCCTCACCCCTGGCTGGCCCCCTCCTCTGTCCCTTCCGTTCCACCCCTGTCTTCCCACATGAGCACGGTGAGGTAAAGCGGCGACAATTGATGCTAGTGCGAGTGGCGGAGCTGCGGTTGCAGAGCATGGACGAGATCAACCAGGTGGCCAACGAGACCGTGCCCCGTGCTTGTTGCCGTGTGCCCTTACCGTTGACCCCCCACAGGAGCATGACGAGGTGAAGCGCAGACAGCTGATGCTAGCGCGAGTTGCAGAGCTGCGGCTGCAGAGCATGGACGAGATCAACCAGGTGGCGAATGAGACGGTGCGCATCATTGAGACCGCCACCGTGCCCATCCTGGGCGTCAACCGCAACGGCCAGATCAACGGCTGGAACATGCAGATTGCCAAGCTCACCGGTGAGCTGTTTACATCGGGTTCAAGGCAAGGGGTTTTGAGGGTTTGGGGTTCGAGGGTTTGGGGTTTGAGGGTTTGGGGTTTGAGGGTTTGGGGTTTGAGGGTTTGGGGTTTGAGGGTTCGAGGTTTGAGGGTTTTGGGGTTTGGGGTTTGAGGGTTTGGGTTTTAAGGGTTTGGGGTTTGAGGTTTGAGGGAGGCATGCAGGTTGTCAGCTGACATGTGGGTGGAGCATGCAGATCGCCATCCACTTCTCCTCCCTCTTCTCCTCCCACCATCTGTTGCCCCCCCATCTTCTCTGCCCTGCACTCACTCTCACTTGCCCGTTGTAGGCATACCAGCAGTGGAGGAGGCGATGGGACGGTCGTTTCTGCAGGAGCTGGTGCTTGAGTTGACTCTCGTGCTCCCTCCCCTTCCCTTTCCCCCTTCCTCCTGTGCCCCTCTGCACTGCACTCGCTCTCTCTTGCCCGTTGCAGGTGTACCAGTGGAGGAGGCGATGGGGCGCTCGTTCCTGCAGGAGCTGGTGGCGGAGGAGAGCAAGGCGGACACACAGAGACTGCTTGTATCGGTGAGTGGGTCTTGGGCAGAGGAGTGGTCGCACACTGTCAATGAGTGCCTGCGTGGTGCTGGTATGCGTGTGTTTGGTGCTGGCATGTGTGTGCTCCGCCCTATTTTCTTCTCATTCTCCTCTTCTACCACTCTCCCATAATCCCATCTTTTCCTCCCTCCGATAACAGTCGTTACAAGGCTGAGAGGAGTCGGATGTTGAAATCCGCCTTAAGGTGTGGCGCAGCGGGGTGCCAGCGGGCGTGCTGATCATGCTTTGCCTGCCCTACTGCCTTCCGGTCTTCCCATTTGCAGTCATTACAAGGCAGGGAAGAATCGGACGTGGAGATCCGCCTCAAGGTGTGGCGCAGCGGAGTGCCGGCGGGGGTGCTGATCATGCTGGTGAACAGCTGTGCCAACCGGGACATTCACAACCAGATCGTGGGCGTGTGCCTCGTGGGGCAGGATATCACCACCCAGAAGATTGTTATGGATCGGTGAGGAATGGGAAGGAATGGAGGAGGACGGGGGGAGAGGGAGGAGTGGTAGCAGGGATGCATATATATTGCTTTTGGCTTGGGTGTGTGTCTCTGGTGTGTGTCTCTGGTGTGTGTCTCTGGTGTGTGTCTCTGGTGTGTGTCTCTGGTGTGTGTCTCTGGTGTGTGTCTCTGGTGTGTGTCTCTGGTGTGTGTCTCTGGTGCGGGGCAAGACATCACCACTCAGAGAATTGGCACGGACCAGTGAGGGGCCTGCTGGATCGATTAGGAAAGGGAAGGGAGGGAGGAGTGGCATATAGGGATGCTGCTCACACACAGTGCTTGTGGGTGGTCGTGTGTCTCTGTGCTGTGGGGCAGGACATCACCACTCAAAGGATCGCCATGGACCAGCGAGGGGCCTTTTGGTGTTAATGAAGGGGGCAGGGTGTTGAAAGGCGTTGGTATGTTGAGGAGTTGTAATCCTGTCCGCTCCCCCTTCTCCCCCCCTCCCTCTCCTCCTCTCCCCCCCCCCCAGGTACATCCGCTGTGAAGGTGACTACCGCACGAGAGTGCATTCCCCAAACCCCACTCATCCCGCCCGTATTCAAAATGGATGAGTACGGCATCTGCAGCGAGTGGAGTGGAACGCCGCTGGGGGTGGAACACCACAGTGCAGTTGGTGGCTGGGATATGTTGAGACCTCTTTGCCCTTGCTTAACTTAACCCTCCCCCTTCCTCCCACCCCCCCGGTCCCCTTTCCCCTCCCCATCCACAGATACATGCGGTGCGAAGGTGACTACCGCACCATAGTCCACTCCCCCAACCCGCTCATCCGCCCATCTTTGACATGGACGAATACGGCATCTGCAGCGAGTGGAACACTGCAGAGGGTGGGATGTGATTTGTTGGCACCTCTGTGCCTTGCTCCCCTTTCCATCTCCCCCTCCTCTTCTCCCAGGTACATTCGCTGCGAAGGAGACTACAGAACAATCGTGCATTCCCCCAACCCGCTCATCCCGCCCATCTTCGGAATGGACGAGTACGGCATCTGCAGCGAGTGGAACACGGGCATGAGCCGCCTCACGGGGCTGGGGCGCGGGGACGTGCTGGGCAGGCTGCTGCTGGGGGAGGTGTTTGGGCTCGACATGGCCATGCTGATGCTGAGGGATGAGGATGCCATGACTGAGCTGGAGATTGTGGTGAACTGCGCGATGGAGGGGCATGAGGACACCAGCAACCACCCGTTTTCGTTCTTTGCAAGAGATGGCAAGCTGCAGGTGAGAGGGTTGGAGCAGGTGAGGGGGCTAGTAAATACCAGCAACCACCACAATAGGCTTGGAAGCTGCTGGTGGTGGTGAGGAATGTGGCATGTCTTTGGAATGAGTGGTTGGTTGGTTGGTTGGTTGGTTGGTTGGTTGGTTGTGCTGTGCAATAAGGATGCGATGACTGACTTGGAGATTGTGGTTGTGGTCAACTGCGCCATGGACGGCCATGGGGACATGAGTAATCTTCCTTCCTCCTCCTTTGCGAGAGACGGAAAGATGCAGGTGAAAGTGGTTAGGTTGGAGCAGGTAGTAGGCGAAAAGGGGATTGGAAGCTTTTGCGGGTTAGGATATCTGGCATTGTGCTGTGGACCTTTCACCTCTATTTCTCCTGCCCTCTCCCACTGTCTTCCCCCTGATCCTCTCCCTTCCTTCCACACACAAACAGGAGGTGCTGCTAACAGTGAGCAAGCGCACGGACGTGGACGGGCGCATAACGGGCGTCTTCTGCTTCCTGCACTCCATGAACCGCGAGGTGCAGGAGGCCCTTAAAGCCCAGGCCGCCGCCGAGACTGCCGCGCAGGCCCGCATAGCGCAATCAGACGTGGCCAGAGAAAGCCTCCGGGCGCCCCTTGACGGTCTTGCCTTCATCCGCCTGTCTCTGCAGCGGTCAGCCAGCCTCTCGCCCGACCAGGTTCAGCTGCTTGAAACCGCCGCTGCGCTGGAAGAGCAGATGAGAACAATTCTGGCCGATATGGCGGATTTGAATGCGGTGGAGGAGGGTTATTTGGACGTGCAGAGGGTTGAATTCTCCCTGGTCTCGGTGCTGAACGCATCGCTAAGCCAGGCGTCGGGAGCAGCAATCGCCAAGGGGCAACAACTGGTCTGCTCAGTACCCAGCCCTATGAGAGTGCGAGTATTCGGCGATCCCACACGGCTACAACAAGTGCTCGCCACGTGTCTCCGCACGGCTGTCGAGCACACGCCGCCGACTGGTTGGATCGAGCTGAAGCTAGAAGCGCCGATGAGAGGAGCGGCTGATGTGCCGCCTCCGCAGGGGCACCCGTCGGCTGAACGGTTCAGATTCACCGTCGCACACTCGGGGGATGGGGTGCCGGGGCCGCTGGTGCAGGTGCTGGTGGGGAGGGGGGGCGTGGCAGCGACGGGGTTGCAGGGCATGGCGCTGCGGTTGTGTCGGCGTTTGGTGCATCTTCTGGGGGGTGAATTGGGTTACGCGTTTGAGAGCGGGCGCTGCTGTTTTAGACTGGACTTGCAGCTGCCTGTGAAGCACAAGGCTGAAGCTACGGCTGGTAGCAGAGCGTGAAAAGGGGAGAGGGCGGGGGTTGGTTGCAACAGGGTTAGAGGGCATGGCGCTGAGGTTGTGTCGGCGCTTGGTGCGTCTGCTGTGGGGGGGGGGGGGGGGGGAATGGGATATGCATTTGAGAGCGGGCGGTGTTGCTTCAGACTGGATTTACAACTACCGGATAAGCACAAGGCAGAGGCAATGGCTGGTAGCAGAGCGTGAGAAGGGTGAAGGGGGCGCTGGTGCAGGTGCTGGTGGGGAGGGGGGCCGTGGCTGCAACGGGGTTGCAGGGCATGGCTCTGCGGTGTGTCGGCGGTTGGTGCATCTTCTGGGTGGCAAGCCAGGGTGCGCATTTGTGAGTGGTCGGTTCTGCTTTAGATTGGACCTGCAGCTATTAGTTAACCACAAGGTGGAGGCAACGGCAGGGAGCAGAGCATGAGAATGGGGAGGGGGTGAGGGAGGCATGTGTGTGTTTGTGTCTGCCTCTGTGTCTGTGTTCTCGTGTGTCTGTGTGTGTGGGTGGGTGGGGAGGGGGGGTGGGTGTTCGTGCGTGTGTGTGTGTGTGTGTGTGTGTGTGGTGCTTGGGTCTACCAGCAGCCGCTTGGGAAGCACAAGTTGGAGGCCACAGCTGGGATCAGGGCGTGGATAGCAAGACTTAGTGAGGGCGGTGTCAGTTCACGCTCACAATGTGCACTGCTCAGGGTTCAAACGGACGGATTTTGCAGCCGCTCCCACGGAGGAGGTTCGAGTGAAGAGGAGGAAGGAGGAGAGGAGGGAGAGGGAGGAGAGGGATGGGGACACAAGGAAGGACGGAGGCAGGAAGCGGAATGTACAGGAAGTAGGGATAGCAGGCACTGGTGGTGCGGTGTGGAGGAGAAAGGTGGGAGGAGTGCTGACAGGAGAGAAGGCACGGCAGGGCTGGTAGTGGGGGCCCTGACCTGAGGCGATTCTTGCCTCTCTTTTGGGTCTGTATCTTCACACGACTTATAAGAAGGGTCATGAAGATACCGTATACACAGCAGGGCAGTGTGAGTGAGTCAGGGTGCGCGTGGATGCTCCTGCATGTATAGCAAGGCAGAGGAGGGGGATGAGAGGAGGGGGATGAGCGTTGAGAACTCGAAAAACGTGGGTGTTTTTCCTTTCTATTCAGGTGGCAATGTTTCTGCATCCGCCTGCGCTCATGCTACCCGGCTGCCTTCCATCCAATCCAACGCCCATCCAGAGATTGTGGCAAAAGCAGTTACCGTATGGTTCACTGTTGGTGTCCATTTTTGGGGTTGCTTCATACAGTTTTGTGGCACGTGCAGTGATGGGTCAATGAGAATGTATGTGCGCTTCTTCTGTGTACAGTAAAGCCAGTTTAAATAACATCACCTCATAGGTACATTCAATATAACATTCAGGACGATATCACATTCACTTTAACCCTAAGTGGGTAAGAATATATGTAATGCAGCGACTGCCCACTGGCATGGCTGCAAGGTGTGATGTAAAGAATCAGTTTCGTAATGTGCGGCATCACTAAATTTACGGATTCCGTTTAAAAACAATATGATGTGATGCTTGTACCATACCATACACAAACTTGTATATATTGCACTGCTTGCGTCAGCTTGCTGAATTTGTTGGCAGCGTCGTCTAGCGGAAACCAAGCGCTACCGAGCGCTACCGACGCTACCAAGTGCAATATATCGGTGCATCCCTTCCTCCCATCGTCCCCCCACATGCTCCATGCTAGCAGATGTACAGTACCGTACACATCTAATCTACCTAGCTACAATTGTCAAATTATATATGTGTTACATATGTGTAGGCTGTAGTGGGGTAGCTAATATGGGGTATAGCCCCTTGAGGGTTTCATACTTGTACCCAACTTTCTCCTAGTTCATTCATTCCTGCTCGTTGATTCTGACATGGTTTTAGAGCAGTAGGTTCGTAGGACCGTTTTTTTCGGGCCCACCATTACCTGGTGACCGACTGCGGTTACCGCTTTACCCCACGCCCTGGCCTGCGCTGCGCCGTCAGCGCGCGCCCTGCCCTGCCCTGCCTTGCGTCACCCTGCGCCAGCGCCTTGCCCTGCGCCAGCGCCTTGCCCTGCGCCAGCGCCCTGCCCTGCGCCAGCGCCCTGCCCTGTGCGATGGCGCCCTGCCCTGCGCCAGCGCTCTGCCCTGCGCCAGCGCCCTGCCCTGCGCCAGCGCGCCGCCCCTGCAAGCCCGTAAGGCCCGTGTGCCGCCCCTGCAGGCCCGTAAGGCCAGCGCGCCGCCCCTGCAGGCTCTCGCCGCCCGCGCGCCGCCCCTGCAGGCCCTCGCCGCCCGCGCGCAGCCTCTGCCCGACCGCGCACCGCCCGCGCGCGGCCTTAGCCTGCTCGCGCGCGGCCTTAGCCTGCTCGCGCGTGGCCCCTGCTGGCCAGCGCGCCGCTTCTTGCTGCGCGCGCGCGGCTTCTGCCTGCACGAGCACTGCCCCTGCCCGCGCGCGCGCTGTCTTTGCTCGTGCGCGCGCTGCCCCTGCTCGTGCGCGCGCTGCCCTTGCTCGTGCGCGCGCTGCACCTGTCTCCGCGCGCGCTGCCTTGCCCGTGCCCGTCGCGTAGCCCGTGCGGGCTGCCCCAGCCTGCCGCGTCGCCCGTCCGCCTTGCCTGCATGCGCGCCGCCCCCGCCGGCCCCGCACACGCCACCCGAGCGTCGTCCTACCCTAGTGCCTCCTCGCCGCCCTTCCTTCCCTACGTCCTGCCCTGCTGGTCGCATGACTTCTCTTTACTGCGGCGGTGGGAGCGGTGGCGGCGGTGGCGTCTGCAGTGGTAGTCGCTTTGGAGCTGTTCAGCACGGAGTCTCTGGCGGCGGCCAGATGCAGCTGCAGCGATGTCCGAGCGAGACCCTTACGCCCCCGCAGCTTCGTGAGTGGTACGCTCGTAGGTGTGGTGGCGGTGACAGTGGTGGCAGTGGCGATGCAGCTACTCCGTTGGGAGTTCATGGCGGTGGCCAGATGCAGCTGCACGGCGTCCGAGCGAGACCCTTACGCGCCAGCAGCTTCGTGAGTGGTACGCTCAGAGTGAGGGGTCTAGAAGTCCTGCACGCTGCCTGTACGTCATTTGCACAGGTGATCGGGCTGGTCAGACTTGCGGGACGCTTTCTCACACACAGGCTCGCTGCTTTGCCTTGTCGCCAAACACTTGAACGCCAAACACTGCACGCCTGTCCCTGTCTCGCTGGCTGACCCCTCTGGGGGCCCAGTGCTTGCTCGCTCCTCCATTGTGTTCCCGTGTCCGGCGGTCCCGTCCGGTGAGCTGTCTGGTCTCCACCTCCCCTCGTTCACTACGAAGAATATACCTCCGGTGAGCAACGCCGTCCTTCAGGATCATTGGGTTGATACCTTTACTCCTGGAGGACAGCGTGTGGCGAACTGCACGTGCTCTCGGACTGGCCGCCACTTGGCCACGTTCACACGTGCGCCTGGGTCCAGTAAGTACACCCTCACCACCGCGTCGCGCTACACCCCTTTGTCTCCTCAGCTGTACGCGTCCGCTCAGGTAGCTACCCAGTGTGAGTATCGCCGCCTGTCGCACCAGACTCTCCTTAAGCACCACCGCCTTGGTCACCCCTCCATGCCTCGCCTTTGTGGCATGCACTCTCGCTACCCGGTCTCTGGTCTTCCCAGGTCTCTGCCCTCCCTCCCTCCCTCGCCTGTGCCGCCCTGCATTCCTTGCGTTCAGTGGCGGCAGCGCGCCGCTCCTCACTCCTCCTCGTTCCCTCCCACAGAGGCTCCCTTGCAGACTCTACACCTGGACGTGTGGGGCCCAGCCCGCATCCAGGGGCAGGGCCGCGAGCGGTACTTCCTGCTGGTAGTCGACGACTACACGCGTTACACCACGGTCTTCCCCTTGCAGCGCAAGGGGAACGTCCCTGCTGTTTTGATCCCGTGGATCTGCGCTCTTCGTCTCCAGCTCCACGAGCGGTTCGAGTCGGACTTTCCTATCCTGCGTCTGCACTCTGACAGAGGTGGTGAGTTCTCCTCCGACCTCTTGCGAGCCTTTTGTGAGGAGCACAGCATCCGCCAGTCGTTCACGCTTCTGGCCTCTTCGCAGCACAATGGTGTTGCTGAGCGCCGCATTGGCTTAGTCATGGAGGTCGCTCGTACCTCCATGATCCATGCAGCTGCCCCCCATTTTTTGTGGCCGTTTACGGTCCGGTACGCTGCGCATTAGCTCAACCTCTAGCCCCGTGTCTCCGTGAAGGAGACTTCGCCCATACTACGTTGGACGGGGGAGGTTGGCGATGCGTCGCGATTCCGGGTCTGGGGTGCTCGTGCCTTTGTCCGCGATACCACTGCGGACAAGCTCTCCCCTCGCGCAATTCCCTGCGTCTTCCTTGGCTTTCCCCTTGACGCGCCTGGCTGGCAGTTTTACGACCCTGCCTCGCGCCGTGTCTTTGCGTCTCAGGACGTCACTTTTGACGAGCCGGTCCCCTTTTACCGTCTATTTCCCTACCGCACCGCCCCTCTCCCTCCCCCGCCGCTCTTTCTCGCTCCAGGTCCTCCCCAGGTAGACCCCCTCCCCGCTCCAAGTCCTGCTCCTTCAGGTGTGTCTCAGGTAGACCCTCCTCCCTGTCTGAGCCGGTTGAGGTCACAGGTGACTCTGACCCTGCTGGGGGGTGGTCTTGCTCGGGGTGTTGCGTCTGGGGTTGCTGAGCCTGGGGGTGCGGAGCCTGGGGGTGCTGAGCCTGGGGGTGCGGAGCCTGGGGGTGCTGAGCCTGAACGTGAGGAGTCTGGGGGTGCTGAGCCGGGGGGTGCGGAGTCTGGGGGTGCTGCGCTTGGGGGCACTAAGGCGCCTGGTGAGCAGTCTCCTTGGAGTGGCCGCCTGCGTAGTCGCTCCGCTGGTGCCTCGCCGCAGCGCCCTCGTTGGCGTGTCCCTCTCTCCCCTCAGCAGCTGCGTGAGTGGTACGTTAGCCATCAGGGTCGCGCTGCTGGAGCTGGGGGCCCTGCTGCGGGAGGCACTGGCATTGGAGGTTCTAGAGCTGGTAACTCTGCTA